TTAGTGATGCTTGTTAGTTCAGTAAACTGGACTTGAGGAGTGGTTATTGGCAGGTGAGGATTGCTCCAGGTGATGAGTACAAGACGGCCTGTGTGACTCGATACGGGTCATTTGAGTTTCTGGTAATGCCACTTGGATTGACCAATGCTCTTGCCACATTTTGCACCTTGATGAATAGGGTATTACGGGATTTTCTGGATAGATTTGTGGTAGTCTATCTCGATGATATTGTGGTTTATAGTCAGACTTTGGAGGAGTATGTGGGGCATCTCAGGCAGGTATTTGAGGTATTACAGTAGCACTAGCTTTTTGTAAAGAAAGAGAAATGTGTCTTTGCTCAGCCGGAGATACCTTTTCTAGGGCATATTGTGGGACAGGACAAATTCGGATGGACAAGGCCAAAGTGAGGTCTATTGCAGAGTGGGTACCTCCCTCAAAGATTTCTAACTTGAGATCATTCTTGGGATCAGCGAACTATTATAGGCAATTTTTTTGAGGTTATTCACAGATTACTTCTCCCCTTACAGAGTTATTAAAGAAGGACAGAAAATGGGACTAGACAATTGAGTGCCAGCAGGCTTTTCAGACTTTGAAACAGCGTATGATGGAGTTTCCCATCCTAGCTTTACCGATTACGCTAAAGTTTTTGAAGTAGAGACTAATGCCTCCGACTTTGCTATCAGTGGAGTTTTGATGTAGGAGGGGCATCCTATTGCCTTCAAGTCTAGGAAATTGAACGAAGCTAAGAGGAGGTACACGGTACAGGAGAAGGAGATGACAACCATAGTTCATTGCTTAAGGACTTGGCGACATTATTTGTTGGGTGCACCTTTTGTAGTTCGGACAAATAATGTGGCGACATCATATTTCCAAACAAAAAAGAGGTTGTCCCCTAAGCAAGCACGATGGCAAGACTTTCTTATTGAATTCGACTACTGACTAGAGTATAAGCCCGAGAAATCCAATGCAGTTGCTGATGCACTAAGTCGACGGGCTGAGTTGGCAGCTTTGAGTAGGGTTGAGAGTTCTCTTTCTGGCAAAGTGTGGGGAGGGTTATAGGATGATCTTACTGTCGTAAAATTGATGGCATTGGTGATAGAAGGGAAGACCTAAAAGTTTTGGGTTGAGGATGGGCTATTGTTCACCATGGGACGTCGGATGTACATACCGTTGTTTGAAGGTTTACGAAGGGAATTGTTGCGTGAGTGCCATGATTCATTGTGGGCTGGCCATTCGGGTATACAAAGGACGATGGCATTGCTAGAGGAAGGGTATTATTGGCCTCAGATGTCTGATGATGTTGAGACATATGTTCGGACCTGTCTTATCTGTCAACAGGATAAGACAAAAAACAAGGTGGGGACAGGATTGCTACAACCTTTGCCTATTCCAGACCGACCTTGGGAGTCCATTTCTCTTGATTTCATAGTGGGCTTACCGAAATCAAAGGGGTGTCAAACTATCTTTGTAGTGGTGGATCGTCTGACGAAGTACGCCACTTTCATTCCTACTACTAAGGAATGCCCTGCTGAGGAGGCAACACGGTTGTTCATGAGACATGTGGTGAAGTTTTGGGGATTGCTTGATGGAATTGGTGATAGAAGGGAAGACTTGAAAGTTTTGGGTTGAGGATGGGCTATTGTTCACCATGGGATGCCGGATGTACATACTGTTGTTTGAAGGTTTACGAAGGGAATTGTTGCGTGAGTGCCATGATTCATTGTGGGCTGGCCATTCGGATATATAAAGGATGATGGCATTGCTAGATGAAGGGTATTATTGGCCTCAGATGTCCGATGATGTTGAGACATATGTTCGGACCTGTCTTGTCTGTCAATAGGATAAGATAGAAAACAAGGTGGGGGCAGGATTGCTACAACCTTTGCCTATTCCAGACCGACCTTGGGAGTCCATTTCTCTTGATTTCATAGTGGGCTTACCGAAATCAAAGGGGTGTTAGACTATCTTTGTAGTGGTGGATCATTTGACGAAGTACGCCACTTTCATTCCTACTACTAAGGAATGCCCTGCTAAGGAGGCAACACGGTTGTTCACGAGACATGTGGTGAAGTTTTGGGATTGCCTAGGTACATTGTTAGTGATAGGGATCCGAGGTTCACTGGGAGGTTCTGGACAGAACTATTTAGATTGTTGGCTCTGAGTTGTGCATGTTGACGAGTATGCACCCATAGACTGATGGACAGACAGAGAGGACCAATGCACTGCTAGAGTTGTACCTTCGTCATTATGTGAGCTTTACTCAAGCTAATTGAGCAAAGTTTTTAGATGTGGCTCAATTTTCGTTTAATCTACAGAGGAGTGAGTCGATTGGGAGTCCTTTTGAGTCGGTGATAGGCCAACAACCTTTGACTCCTAAAGCCATAGCCTCGAGCTATAAGGGAAGTAGTCAAGTAGCTTACAGGATGGCTCGGACTTGGCAGGATGATACGGATATGGCCAAAGCTTGCTTGTAGCATGCCCTGAGAAGATGAAGAAGTGGGCAGACAAATGGGAGGGATTTGGCGTTTCATGTTGGAGACTTGGTTCTTGTGAAGTTACATCAAATTCTGAGGCACAAGAATGTTCATAAGGGCTTGGGTAGAAGATATGTAGGTCCTTTCCGAGTAATTAAGAAGATTGTGACACTGGCCTACAAGCTAGAGCTGCCAGAGAAATTGAGGATTCATCCGGTCTTCCACGTCAGTATGTTGAAGCCTTATCATGGAGATGAGATTCAACCAGCTCAAAATCAGTCATAGAGAGCACCTTTAGGGGCCATAACCTCATTTGACAAAGAGGTGGAGGTCATTCTAGCAGATAGGGTGGTAAGGAAGAGGGGATGCAAGCCGAGGACTGAGTATTTAGTCAAGTGGCATGGTCTACCGAACAGCGAGACCAGTTGGGAGCCAGTTGAGAGTTTGTGGCAGTTTAGTCACCAATTGGCACAGTATATTGCCGGTGACGAGGGCGACGTCGGAAATAGTGGGGAGTATGTTACAATCTGAAATTTCTCCACTAGCAAGCTACGAAACGACGTAGCTTAAGGGGAAAGAAGTCGAGCCTTTGGATGAAAGAAACATCCAGGTGTTGGGGGGATGATTGTAAAAGATCACGCCGGGAGAATCTCCAGCTTAGTAAGCTGTTGTGTAACTGAAAGCCTTGGCCATGCACGAGGCCAAACGATTACTCCTCCCTTTCCCCTTCCCTTGATATATAGGTTTTTTTTGCCCTCCCTCCTTTTCCTCCATGTTTTTTTATTCAGCTATCTGTAACTCTCCTCTGCAAAGCTCTTTTAGGGAGTATAATAAATAAACAGGAGACCCATCCTCCTACAAGGGAAACAGCTCCCTTATTTTATTCACTGTCCTAAATTGGTCACTGTAATGTGGTCTCCCGGAGAGGGGAGAATTGTGCTTGCTATTGATTAGGCTGAAGAAAATGGTCGACCTTCTTGCCTCACCACTTTGTTTCCAGCAGTAGAGTAAGCTGGAAAGAAGAGAGAAAAAACAGGGGGGTGACACAATCGTGTTGAAGGACTAGAACAAGATCTGCAAAAGGCCAAGTCGATCTACAAATCTAGATAGAATATGGTCCGAAGTTTGAGCGATCGGTAATGATAGCAATTAGATCTAGCTGGATTCGATTCAGGACTCCAACAGTTCGTCAATGGTGACTTGGATCTTGGATCGGTCTATGGAGTCGGGTTGCATGTAGAGACTTGATCGTCTTCTCTGTGATTTGAACGAGATTTGCAACTTCTGGATTGGACGGCCTAAGTCGACGACATGCAGCAGCTAGGGTTTCTATGATGAAGAAGATGACCAAAAGTGCAGTATTTGCACTTTGGTCCCTCGAGTGATCTGCTTCGGCAGATCAGTCCCTCAACTTTTGGGATTTTCTAACTCGGTTCCAGAACTTATTCAAGTTCAAGCCCCTGTACTTTCAATCTCTTCACATAAGTCCTTTCAGCAGAAGGATCTTAGATTTTGAGCTCAAACTCTCAATTTATTCACTTAGATCCTTACTGCAGAAAGATTCTAAGCAACTGGCTCTGATACCATTGATGGAAATTGAAAATACTCAATTGTATTCCACACTTGAATTGTTTACGTAAGGTCCTGATTATAGATAAACTAATCCTAATAAATCTTTAAAAAATAAAACAAATCCTACTCTAAGATAATTATAAATTTATTTAATAATTATTTTAAATAATTATCTCAACAGATTTCTCACATCAAAAATGATTCCAGTTACTTTGCAAATCTTGAGAATGAACATCAATAATTCCTTCATTTAAAGAATTGCAGTCTTGTTGATTGATACTTGTAATGGGGTATAAATACGAGGTTATAAAGTCCTTAACTCTTTAAGTTTTGAAGAAACTGGCATTTGACTGACACAAACATGCTGCAATGTTGTTACATTTAAAGGCAAGGATAGAGGTTCCAGATGCAACATCCTCTTAAACAATTCAATGAACTTCGAAGTTACAGCTAATAGATGTATTACTAAAAAATACTCAGATACTCCAATATTGTCCTGAAAAAGTCAATGTTATTGTTTACAGTTTTTCAATACATTTTATGCATATTTTATTCCATATTTATAAATTTAGTTTGATATATCCTGTATAGCCATATCTAACGTGGATGAATTCTGTTGTAAAGATATGAGAGTTACAGGGAAACCTGGCTATCCAGTCCCATATTATTAGTACACCCCATTTGAGATAAAGACAGAAATCACAAGAAAATAATTCATATCAAGATACTCAAATTCAGTGCTGTGATGAAACTCCTAAAGCAGATCACAAGAAAGCCATATAGAAACAAAATGCTTACAAACCAAAGTACACAATCCAAGTAGGCAGCTTATAACAGTACAAAACACATCATAATATGTAGTCTACACATCAAGTCAGACTAAAAATTTATTTATTTATTACATGTTTTCTTCACTTCTCAACCATAGAGTAACAGAGAGAAGGAAAGTGAAGTTTAAGGAAACCCACCATGCTTCGGTTGACCAGGAGGCGAAGGTTTTGGTATATAGGGCATAAGGGGAGTGCCATGCTGGATGGGTCCAGGTTTTACCGAAGCTTTTGAACTTGGAACTGGATCAATAGGGTGGTAATCTTCCATATAGAGGCCACCTGCATTACTCTTAGCTGTGCTTGAAGCATAGCCATGCCCCTGCAGATTGGAAACGGGGGAAAATTAATTACTTCCTTCTTTTTTTTTGAAAAAAGGTTCATTTCCAAATCCAAAGCCTAGAAGAACATCCAAACACCCTGAATTATGGCCTTCTCGTTTCATGCATGGCCTCATGGACTTCCAAACCTCTAAAGCTCTTCAGTTAAGTGCGTATACCTTTAGCTTCCTGTTTCTTGCTATCACTGCTTTGCTATCCTCATTGTGAGTTAAAGCCGTATCTGAGATTAACATAAAGAACCTCATAAGCATCTCAATAAGAGAATATGCATAGTAATTCTAAAAATCTTAATCTGGCTTATACAGCCGTCCATCAATAACCACGAGTGACTTTGAATTAGGCAATAAGCATTTGGCATCAACGCTTCATCGTGTTCTGTCAGAAAAGCCAATTTTTGCTACCAAAGAGAGAGCATAACACTGAATTTCGGAAGGAGAACCAATTCAATTTCTATAACCATTTTCGTCCATAATATATTTCTCATTGTATATATCAAGTTTCACAAAGAGATTGCCTCATTTAACAGGAGAAATCATCGTCTGACAACACTCACTTCAGTTTGCATGTTATATGAGCTAGTGCCAAGCCATAATCAGTCATGAGCTCTTACTAAATAATATTTCTCTAAGAGTTGATATTCCAATTTGCATGCATGTGAAATTTATGGATTCAGGTACTGCAACCAGAAGGGCTTTTGTAACAGTTTTGTTAGACGAGTATAATCAAAGTACTGAACATCTGTTTTCTCTCACTCTCATCCATGTCTGAGGAAAGATTGCAGACATTTGAATGCTGATCACATCATCCATTACTTTGACACCTATCATCAATTTCCGCCACAGCCAAACATACATAGAAAGTGTAATATGGGATGAGGAAGGCAACATTAAGGCTCTAATAATGAAAAACAGGAAAGCTTAAATTCCAGCATTTTGCGCTAGATACAGGCACCTGTTCATCAATTTTTAATTTCATACGCACATCCTATCATCCTTTAACCGTTGTAAATATTACCACTCTCTATCAGAAAAGACTACGGCCATTGAGATTTACCAAGAAGTGAGGAGGTGCTTCCTTCGGTGGAGAAACTAAGAAGCATCAAGGCCATCCCAATCAGGGAGAACAAAACCCACAACAAATAACCCTTCATGCTGCCAAAGCAAATACTCTCTCCAAACCTTAGCAGGCCACTGATAATAAGTATATACCTTCGAACAGGACTTGGTCAACCCATTAATAAAAGGAGGAAATAGAAATGCGATGTTAAAATCTGCAGAGATAAGTAGAAGGGTAAGGACTCTTCCAAGCCCATATCGATGAACTTATGGATGCAGAGCTAGAGTAAATGTACTTATTTATAACTAATGTGAAGTGGGACATGAAGGAGATGTCTTGCACTGCTGTACAGTGAGGGAGACATTTATTGCACGTGGTTGTGGCGCAGAACCAGTGCCGAAGGGAGCGAATTGAATGCAAAGGCGTTGTGGGAAACGAGCCTTCTGACGGTTCTGATCAGCGTCAGTCTTGAAGATTGGTTCCGTCATGAGCCTTCGGATGGTTCCAGCACGACTTCGCTTTTCCCCTCCGCGTCAAGTTCTTTAAAAATGATTTTCTTGTTGCCGGTTCTCGTTTTTCTATTTTCAGGGCTTTCAACATCTCCCGCATCAGGGGCATAAATTCAAGGGCAAAAATATAGGAGCACCATATGGACAAATTCTCTTCAACATTGGAGAAGTCCATTTTATTTTTTGTGCTTTCCTCTCATAAAACTTAAATTTTTGGATTTCTCGAGTTGGTGAGTTGGTCTTGGATCATCCATTGATTGCTGAATTGCCCTTCGACTTCCAATTTAATTCAGTTATATTTATATTTGCCAGTAATATATGGCTTTCACACGTTGACAATAAGAAAAATGATCGTGTTTGAAGGGCATATAATTCGATTAAAGAAGATATTCATTATTCATCCACCCTCCACTCTCAGACGTAGATTTAAAAAGGCAGGTGCTTGATGATGCAGGGCGGCGACGTCCTTCCCTTTATGACAAAACTACTGTTTTTGTGCGTGGACCCGTACCGACATAGTAAACATATCCAGGCCAAAATGTCCAAAAAAAGGGTTAAGCATACAGGGAAAACAGAGCACTAGTTCACAGCTTGTTGCTCTGATTATCTCTCCGTAGCATGCCTAAAGAACAGATAAACTCAATAATAGATATTTTACAGTTTACAGCAATTTCCACTTCTAAGATAACCAAAAATGGTGAAAAGATAAAGATAGAGCATGAAAACCCATTTCTGATCGGGTAAATTGCTACCAGAAGAACCACGTTATCTTCGCGAACAACAAGAATTGCACATGGACAGGGTTCACTAGGAACAAAAAACTGAAAGCGAAGTTCTCTGCATTCATAGTCTTTATCTACCAAGTTCCATTGCGATTCAACTGACCAACAGCTCGAGATCGAGAGAGAGAGAGAAACATGCATGCATGCATGCGTGATTAGAGATTTAAAAGTTGCGGCAGAGATATGTAGCACGCCTGGCCCAATGAGCGATGTGAGAGAGGCCAGCTCGCCTCTTCTTGGTCCTGGGAGTGGAGGTGGATGAAGCAACATTTTTCTCCAGCAGCTCCCACAATACGTGGATGTCTTCGTACTCGCTTGTCTGCACCTCATGCCGAAGCTTCATCTTCCCTGCATCACAAGTTGACCAAAAGAAAAAGGAATTGTTTCTGTCAATCGAGATCATTTTGCTCCGACTACTTTGAATTTTGATCACGGCTGTTCATGTGATTTTTAGTGGAATTAACTTTTATTCTTTTAATTTAACTTTATAATTTGGGCACTTACACACACACACACACACATATAAATCAGGACAATATTAAAAAAATAACAAAATCAAGTCATTTTACATGATGAGCAGATATCACACATTCGCCTTTTACAGTAAATGAAACTCGAAGAGCTCGTGACTCACGAGAAAGATGTTAGAATTATTAAATAAATAATTTTTATTTGCTATTCAGTTCTCTTTTCATTTCCTTTGAATCCAAGCGTGAGTTAGTTATAGATTCAACATTAATATCCATACCAGTTTTCCGAACCCTAACACGCTTGGCGACGGCCCTCCAAATCCTTCGGATGGGAACCATCATCCTGGAGCAAAATTGGTCCATCGCAGAACCACCACCACCAACATCGCCGCCGCTCCCACAACCTCTCTCGTCTTCGTGATTCAGAGGCCGCCTGAATCAAACGTAGACGAAATCACACTGACATTAAACAGGCATATGCGAGCAGTTCTCATTCGTATATATATACAAAAATGAAACTAAAACAGACAAAAAAACAGAAAGGAACACGACGACGACTTGAAGACGATTGCATTCAGAATAGAAACGGTTAAAAAATGTAATTGAATATTGTTTTTATAGTAATGCGTGCGAGAGGAAGAACCTGAACGCGAAGAGCAACGAACAGACGAGGCGGCAGTTTTCTCTCGGTAAAATGTCTCCTCCGGCCCGACGGGGGGAGGAACCTCGTTTTAAGAGAAGTCTTCTATTTTTGGCTTTCGGCGTGGTAGAACGGGAATCGTCAACCCGCGTCGCCCGATGACGTAATATTATTGCCACGCCACAGATGTTCAATATCAGAAACTTTTTGGTGAAACCATTTTTCATAATTTCTTTTATGAAAAAATGTCTAAAAATACCTTGTTTTTTAAGTAAATAATTTTTAGGCTGTTTGCAAAATTCTCGAGATTTTTTTGAAAGTAAGAAGAATAAACAAAATATTATCCAAATTATTTAATTTTTCCTTTTGTAATAAAAAAAAAGGAAAAGTAGAGAACACCGAAAGGGATGGAAAATTTATATTTGAAATTGTTGCCAATAAAAGATAAAAAGAACGCCAAGAAGAGAGCCTAATTCTAATAAATTATGGTAGATATTTCATTTTTTATTTTTTTTGTGAATAACTTTATTTTTATGACTTCGTTTAGTAAATTGAACAAAATAAGGTATGATAGAGAATTTCTAAATAATATATCTTAATTATATAATATTTTACATTATTACACCGTACTCTGTAAATTGAATAAGATAAAATAATATTAAACAATTACAAGTAGCAGATGATTTGAATAGCTGATGAATACTAGTAGTCAATAGTTCACTTAAAATTATTTCATGTTTTCTTTTTAATATAATTTATCCGGTTTTAAATGAAAAATTATCTTATTTATATTATTTATCTAATATTTTTATCTAATCTACTGAATATAAAATAAAATTAAATAATTATTTTTATTTGACCATAAATAAGTAGTATTTTGTCATATAAATTAGAGGCAACGAAAAAAAAAAACTTGTTAAGTGCTCTTCCAATATGAATTCATCCGTAACAGAAATGGACATTTAGACCATTGACACATCCAGTCTAGAAGTCGAAAATATCGCCCAAAGTCAGCTTTCCATGGCAACCTGAGATTCAAATTCTCATGGACGATTAATCCAATTTACACATTTCGTAATTCATGTTTGGTAAGCAGCGTTGCAATGGACAACTGCAACTCCGGGTATCTAATTCCACCTTTAACCACTAGTGTCTGGTCAATTACTATAATGCCTCACCATGTCATTTATATCGTTGAATAGAAGTCTGTTTGCCATGCTTTGCTCAAAAATTATGACCTTGCCGATTATTAATAGAAGTCAAGGATCTAGCAGAACAGGCCACGAGTTAAAAATGAAACTACCATTATCAGAAGAACAAGGGGTTACTATAATTTATAAACACGTTCCACAGATCTTCTAAGGTTAAGTCCCCTTCCCACAATCTAGAACTTTCTCAGCAATAACACTGGAAAGTTTTCCAGCTTAATCACATTCACAGAATCAAGACTCATTCCCACGAGAAGCTCCTTCTCTACGTCATTTCTGGAGATGAGGAAAGCATGCATAGAGATCGGCTTTGGGATGTTTTGCTTCAGCATGTTCCTTGCACTTCACCTCCGATGTGGTGCACATGAATGTCTGCATGCACACCTTGCACTGCATTGGAAAACCATCACGCATTAAAACCAAGATTAAAGATACAAACTATTTCTTGAGATAGATCATCCTTCTAGCTAAATGAATAGAGAGCCTACTACAACTTCATCTTCTTTTCCTTTTGGGTTCCATCCAGCAAGTATGAATCTAAACGTATAATAAAGAATTCGACTTTCTCACTCAGTAGTTGGGGGTCATTGAGGACTGGTAAAGTTTGGTTTCTGAGCCAACAATTTCAATTCAATATCAAAATTCAAAATAAGAGTGCTGATATAAGAAATAAAAAAAAAATGCAGAGGTTGACATTTCCATAGCTTTTAATAACCCTGTCTGACATACCAAAGCAGCAGAGTGATCAATAATATGCTAATTTTCTGCTAGTCGTAACTAATTCAGTGACCTCAACCACAGGAGTAGACTAGCAAGACTTTTTTGAGGGAACAAGATAAGCAATAGAATTTAATATGCAGGGTATAGATGTCAGCATTAGTAAAAAGTTGAGATGAGATAAGCACATTCTGAGAATTGCACCACTGCTAAAGCGGAGGTAACTACTTAGTTTTCAGAAGCCATTCACTGCACCACATCAAATTGCATTATGTAAAAATAACCCTCATAGAAGGCAAGCTGCTAAAGCACACAGGCACACAGGTGCGCGCCTACACACCCAAACAGATAGAGAGAAAGAAAGTTATGCAACAAATGGCTTTCACGTGATGTTTGAGAAAAATAAATTTCCCCAGAACTTCACAATTGTTGATATCAATGACAGATCACATGTTTCTTACCACTTCATTGTGTGAAAAATTGGGAAACGAAGGAAAAATGCAAAATGAACACAATTGTGACTCTACATCTTGTTTGGATTGAGTGATTGCAGTAAAAAGAAAAGAAAGAGAAGTTTTTTTTCTTCCAAATCACTTCTTTGGATTAGATCTCATAAAGAACAATCATTTTCCCAACGTGCCCTCCATATCTTTCCAATTATCTAGACAAGAACAAAAATCATAATCTAATCCTTTGTTTGCTCTCCATTAAACCACTATATTCTCTTTTCTTTTCTAAGTTCCCAAACATAGTGTCCGGGCAACATAGAATGATGTTAGGATATCAAAGAATTAAAGTCGAAAATGGAAAAAGCAGAACTCGTTATAATTGAAAGCATATACAATAAAACAGAAAGCAATCAGTTTCTGAGAAAGATAGGGAAAAAGAACTATGAATGCAAGTAAAGCATATCGGAACAAGTTCCTAACTTTCTATTCGTAAGTTATCTTAATTTGTTAAATGGAGCTTGATAATAGCATACTGAAAAGGTCCAGTAGGAGATAACAGCTCAATTGGGAAGGAATCTACCTGGATATTCATGGCTTTATTGTTGGATTTAAGCTGGCTTCCTGCACATAAGTTAAACACCAGTGATCAAACCCGAATCCGCGCAAAACCCAGCAATCCCAGGCGTAATTGAACACGATTGGAGCTAAAAGACTAGATCAATACGCAAAATTTCCACACAAACGAAAGATAAAGATAGACGATGTCTCGAATTGATACCCTTAGGGGCTTTCATCTTCTCCGAGTTCCTCTCGCGAGCCATTTTGGACTTCTGACCATTGCCTCCGCCCATAACTCTTCTCTGATTTCAGCGTCGAGGAATCTGAAACCCTAGTTTGGATCCTGCCTTTTGCCCGTGTTGGATTCGACTTGGATTGCCTACCTCTTATTTATATACGTAGAAGTTTCTAAAGCCCACAGGGAAAGGACAGGGAAGGAGGAAGGGAGAGAAATAATGGTTGAGACGCGTGAATTGAACATAATGGACGACTTCCATCGGAAGCTTCTTTCAGGGTGCGGCACAGAAGGTCTATTTGATGTCCCCGTGCGTAATTAATAAGTGGCGTGAGTATAAATTTATGATTTTAATTTTTTATTTTATATTTAATTAAATTATTAATATAATATTAAAAATTATTTTATTTTATTTTTATTTTTAAAATTTAAAAAATAAAAAATAGAACAAATTTATTTTAAATACTTGTATTTATGCCACTTATTTATTAGATAATAGAGTACTATCCCGTTTAAATAATACCTAATATTAAATAAATCGGCACAAAAAATTATAAGAATAAAAGCTGACTACACAAAAATAAGTAAAATATGGATTTTTGCTTAATGACTACTGGTATACAAAATTTTAGAAAAATACATTCTCAATAATTTGAGTAAACATGTAAATGTAACTATAATATGTTAAAATATAAGATATAATTATAATTATAATTTTTAAATATTAGAGTTCTAATAAAATGAAATAATATTAAAATTTTAATTAATAAATTTTATAAATATTTTATTTTTATTGTTAACTACGTGGGTTTTTAAAACCTCCTTCTTATTTTATTATTATTATTATTATTTTGTTTGGGAGGTGGAATATTCGTTTGACGCCTCCTCCTTGATAAACCATCCAGATGAGGGAGAGGGGTGGGGTGAATTGGGATCCACCAAAGAGAAGAATGTTTGGGAATTTTGGTTTGGCTAAGTTATACTATTTAATTTTTTTTTCAAAAGTTTTTTTTTAAGAAAATTGGTGAGAGCTGATTTTTATAATTTTTTACTGAAATTAAATAATTATAAAAGGCTCAAAAATTAACATTTTTCTAAGTTAAAAAAATTCTAAAAAATCAAATTTTTTGAGAAACTATACCTCCAGGATCTAGTTGAAATAAATAAGAAGTGGAAGTTTAGCATCCTCAGTGCTTGTAAAAGTAGTAAAAATAATTGAATTAAAGAGCTTCTCATGATATTTGCACTAATGTCTGTACCTTGTTTATTGTAAAGCATTGTTTTAGAATATCATAAATACCACTTCACTGCTGAAAAATTTAGATTTTAACATTATACTCTTTATAAATGTATAAAAAAATATTTTCATCTACAAATATTAACTTTATAACATTGATTCCAGTCAACATTCTAGTAAAATATTCATCAAAAATTTTATTTTTAAAAGTATATATGTCTTTTTCGGTGTAAATATCAACCAATTTTCTCTCGTTTTAACAATGTATGACCACTATTTATACTTTAAAAAAATATATTTATATCCTTCAAAAGTACAATTATTAAGAAACATTTTATTGATAAGTTGACTGAGAGGATAAGTGTTATAAATTTAATATTTATAAGAGGTGAGATCAATGATGTGAGAGGATAAGTGTTATGAATTTAATATTTATAAAATGTAATATCAATTATGTGTTTACAAGGAATATAATATTAAAATTAAAATTTTTTTTTGGGAGGGGGGGGGGGGGAGCTATATGAAGACTTTCGTAATCTATGTTAGATCTTTTAAAATTAACGAAAATCTATATTAAAAAAGTATTAGGCTTAATCCTTAAATGTTAGATAAGATCGCACTTGGATTGATTAAAATATCAACTAAAGATGAGATAAGGTTTGACGCAAAGCCTATAATTGGTAAGTTTATTTATACATAATTCAATTCCTTTGCTTTGTCTGTATATCTGGGCCAAACTTAAAACATCAATAACATTTATATTTTAAAACTTATTTTTATTCAAAATTAAAAAAATTATGTTTTTAATCCCTGGCTTATGGAAAATTAAATTTAAATTCACAGAAAAACGTACATTCAAAAATCCTATCCCAAATATACATCAGCTGTATCTTTGCACCATAAAGAAAAAATAATGTAATTCCATGACATGAGTAATCAAGAGTCTTTGCCAATAGTGTCGTGGTGACGAGAATTCTAAAGATTTATTTCTCGAATGGGAGGTTGCTTAATTATATTATAGTTTTTTAAATAAATTTATCTCATATATTTTTTTAATTTGTTAATGACCAATTTTATTGAAATAGAATAGTGGGTATTCAGTGGCATTTTATTTGAAAAAAAATCGCTTTCAATTATTTTTTGAACGGTAAGTACCCAATTGGTCCCAAATTAAGCATAATTTTCCATTTTGGCCCTCAAACTATGAATTTTACCAAGTTAATCCTTTGACTGGTAAAATA